GTGCTTAGGGACAGGGGTTAGTGGTGGGATGGCAGCGTCAGGTTGGACTTGATGATCTTAAAGGTCTTTTCCAACCTGAACGATTCCGTGATTTTAGGTGGTAAATGCAAAGTGCAGGTAAGATAATTAATAAATTCAAGCGTTTAAATTCACTGTGCTTCTGGAGATCGACGTCTCTTTGAATTTGTTACCTTCTAAACAAAGCAAGTAGAATAAATAGGATCAAATTCTCAACATACTTTTTTTTTTTTTTAAGGAAGGAAAATAACATTCAAGATACTTTGAATAAAAATCATATGCTTCACGTTATCACCAGCCCTGTATTAAAACTCTGCAGGTCCCAGGCAGAGGAACTGGCAGCTGTCGATACTGGTCTTGTCTCTCGTTGGTTTCTTTGGTGCTGCTGCCAAATTTTCAGCCCTCGATTATGTTTCCACCAAATGCAGAACTTGTGTCTTATCTTAGATTTGCTCACTTGAGCAATCCTCACCTCCTGTTACTTCACTCGTAGCAACTTGGGCGAGTGGGGCTTTGCAGAGTATAGAGCAATTGCTCCAGTCCCTCTGTGCAGTCTCGTTCATTGTTCCTTTTGGTGTGGGAGGGAGAAGAGCCAGTTTAGCATCCAGTTGGAGGTGATGTAACTGCATTAAATATAAATAGAAGAACAATGCCTGGGTCTGGTAAAAATAGGTATTTGTTCAAAAAAAAAATATGGTGAAATTCTATGCCTTAATATAATTTTGCTAATATCTTCAAAAAAATTAATGGGACAACGCGACGTTCTCATTGCATCTACAGAGATGCCAGATGCTGTTAAAATGGCATTTGGAGCCCAGTGTAGTTTATTTTATTTTATTATTCTATTGGATTGAATAAATTATTTCCATTTTGTCCATTTCATTTATTCTCTTCACTTGAAAGAAACTTAGGCTGGTGTGTAGTCATGACACAGGGTTAAAAGTAAGGAACAGCTCATTTCTTCTCAGTTCTGTTGTCTGTGTAATCTTGGGTGGCTCACTTCATCTCTGCTAGCTCGGTTCCTTCATCAATAAAGAGAAAAATGCAACATGTTCCGGCCACCTGAAGTTTTGGGGCGCTGCAGGAGGAGGATGCTGCATATGCAAGGTAGACTGACTTGGTCTCGGTGGTAGGAATGCCTGGGATTTTGTGCTTCGGTTAAACTGCTTTTAGTAAGATGGTGCTGGGCTTTGAAGGCTTCTCCCTCCCCCTCCCCCCTTTTATGCATCTTTATGCATTGAAAACGAGTGATCTGGCCTGTTGTCACACCTTGGCATCCAAATCTTCTGTGCCTTTCACAGCCCTTTGGCTTTGTGGACAGGAATGACCTTAGAGCTTCTGACATAATCAGCACTCTACCCACTTACTAAAATCTGCTTGAGAAGCGGATTTATCACCTATGAGGTGGAAACACTCAAAGTTAAGTGACTGACTAGCTTACTGGGATCCCTCCTAGGGTCAGTCGTGGCAGCTAGGTGTCCTGGAAGGATTTAGATGGTGAGTAACACATTTCCTCTCATCCAGCGCAGGCTGGGCTACCTTGAAAAACTTTCTTCCCTATTTGACCATATAGCTCTTTGCCCTCCAACTTACACCCCATCCACAGTACTTGTGTCTACCTCGGTAGGTGTAGAAAGCTTTGGTGGATATGATGCAAGGAGAGAAGAGCAAGTCACGCTCAAAATCTTGAGCTGTGTGGTACACAGCCTAGTCAATCAGTTTTGGTGGAAATTCTAGTGTCCCCCCCCACACACATCCCCTGTTAAAAAAATGCTCAGGCTCTGGATAGGACTTGCACAATGGAGAAGTTCCCTGCCTTTATGCTTCAGCATGGCAGAAAAATCTACAGAAACAATTAGAAAATGGACAAATAATTTGGAATCCTCATGCCACTGTGGTGCAACCCCAGTGTCTTTGGGATGCCTGTTTATGTTACCCTTTTCACTGATTATGAGAGAGTAATGCAAGAAGAAAAAAAAACCCTCTCCATCCTTTTAAATCAGTGCAGGGAAAGATAAATCCATGCTTCAACCTCGTCTTGGTACTGAAGAGCCTTTCTTAATTTTTTTTTCCCTGAGAATAGTATGTAAAAGTGATACCGGTATCTGTGAAACAATATCCCTGCTTTGTGTCGTTATTGAAATAGCTTCTAATTCCTCAGTCTTATGAAATTTCCAGCACATTAATTTGGCACAAATGATTTATAGTTGATGAGCAATTAAAGTATAATTTTTTTTCAGCATCTCAGGCTTTGTGACTAGACTACTAAATCATTTCACAGGCTTGCTCTATCATTACAGGATAGCGGTGGGATGAATTCACAGGAGAAATTTATTCCTCTTTGCAGACCCAGCATCTGCTCTTGCTGCAAATTGGAGCACTGCTTGCATTCCCCAAGTAATTTTCTCAGCATATCTTTTGT